GACCCGACGTGGGATGTTTTATGGTTTAGGAGTAGGTTGGAAGAAAACTAGAGGCAGCCAGACCAAAACATGGCACAAATCCATGAAGTCACTGACAAGTGGACTGAGCCATGTTGTTAGGTGGAATGTACGAGATGATAGAAACCGATGATTAGAGACCTTGAATAATATGGCTGAAAATCGTTTGTAGTGGTGTGGGTGCATCCACTCTTTGTGTTCTCCCAAATTATAATCTTTTGAATTCTTCATGTCTTTTTTTTTCTTCATTCCAAATTTATTTCACTGTATTACACACCTTAAATAACATCTTCAAACCCTAATCTTTACGATTATTGCTTATACTCTAACCACCTCTACCACTATGGGATTTAAATTGACAACTGCATCTCTGTGATAATATGGTATGGCAACTCGAAATGATGTACATGCGTATGAAGTTCCACGTTGTTACTGACTGATTGACTGACTGACTGACTGACTGACTGACTGAATCGTCAGTTAGAAGTTAATAGTCCAATCAATCAACATCTAAATAATATACATTCTATTCAATGTATATTACCAGCAACCAGATTATCCCTGATTGATCACTTTTGTAATTCGTACAACGAATTATTGTACACTTTATAGAAATGCAATTGAATAAGTTATCCTAATGAATAGCTAATAATGATTTGTTAAAACAAACAATCAAACAAACAGAAGGTAGAAACAAAGAATCCAGATGTTCAGATAGACCGCCAACGTTTAAGTTATTACTTACATATGGAGAAAGAAGATACTATTTTTTCTCATTTGTTTATTCAAATCTAATCAATATTGAATACTTCCATTTAACTTCAGATTATCTAATATCACTTTGAATTCTATTCATAGTAAAAGATAGTAGTAATTATGGATATGAATGGTATAATGATTAAATAAGTGAGATATTTATGTTAAGGAATATTTACTGATAAGAAGGAAACTGCTAAGACTAAAAGTTGAAAGGTGGATTCATGAATCAATTGAAGTTAGACCACCATGAAAATAAGTGGAAGTACTGGACAGTCATTTCGTTATAGTATGGGATTTCTCAGCAGTACACATCCACTATCCCGCCTCAGGACCTATCAGTCTTACACGTGAGGGCTTAACATTTAGACCACTGAGGCGGCCGGAATTCAACGGTGTTAATGTTTAACATCATCAAATCCACAAACTTGAGCCAACATCCACCATCATCTTAAGTGAGTTACTATCTTACAACAGATCAGGTTGAACTGATCTGATTTTTCTGTTGAATGAATGAAAATAATGAATCAAATAATCTTTCTAGATTTTTATTTATAGTTTGATTAAGTTGTCAAGAGTTGTCTTTTCATTAAACCATTAAGATCACTCCCATTGATGTTTAGGACTGAAATTGATCAGTCTCTTATTGGCATATATGCATACTGTGCATATTGCCTTAATTTACAAGCATTATAAGCAAAGATGGATAGTGTCCAGCAGTGGGATTCAGGACGCACGTTTCGTCCTATTTGGGACTCGTCATCAGCTGGATATACCTGCACTTCAAAGTCAATCTTCACTCTGGAACTTGAATCCAGTACCATTCGCTTCAAATGCCATCACGTTATCCACTTACCTACTGAGTCTTGATGGACACTTGCTTGTGCAATAGGGGTGAAAATCGAATTTACTTGATATTGTTGTTTACTTGAATCTTTCCATTAATATTTAGGACTGCAATTGTCATATGTGCATACTGTATATATTACTTTCATTCACAATCTCTATAAGCAAAGATGAATGGATACTGGCTAGCAATGGAATCCAGTTTATGATTCATGTTTTGTCCTATTTTACAACCATCAAAATTCATTCATCTTCGTTAATATTTTCTTATTCTCCATACAACTAGTTATATCAATGTGTATCATGAACATGAGATACAAAACTAATAAATCTAATGTGATTACGTAAGAAGTCTTATCTCATATAATAAGTGATATTGTGTAAAATGAAGAAAAAAAAAAGGGTGATAAACTATTCAACATTTGAGATAGAATCTTCTCTTTATTTTTATTTTTTTATTTTTTATTTTTGTTTCAAAAGAAAACTGGTTCATCATCAGTAGTATGGAGAAAACATTGATTAGATAAGAATTAGGAGGGATACTTTCCAATTACGAAGGATAAACAGGTACATATATACAAATAAACATACTCAAATATATATACATATATATATATATAAATATATACAAATACATACATACATACATGCATAGATACACACACATACACACATATATACATACATAGATACGCACGCACATGCATAGAAACCAATCAGATTTCTATCAATGAAATTCAATTAAATTACAATATTAGTGACGATAAAGAATAATACGAAGATAACTTAATCTGTAATTGAGTAATGAAAATTTTTTAGAGAGAAGAAGAAAAAACGTATTAATACTTAAGGTTTAAAGGCTAATTAAGAATGAATAAATTTGTATCACCGGTTTATACATTTCAATATATATATTCATTTGAAATAAAGATCGTATGGTCCGAGTCCTAGAGTGGACATCAACAAGTCTGAGATGCAGGTATATCTAGCTGATGAGTCCCCAAATAAAAAGACGAAACATGCGTCCTGAATTCCACTACTAGCCATTATCCATCTTTATTTATAATGCTTGTAAATGAAGACAATATCGAGGCAATACGCATATTATGCACATATGCTTATAAGAGAGACTGATCAATTGCAGTCCTAATCATGAATGGGAAGATTTAAGTAAATAATACCAAGTGAATTTAAACTTCATCCCATTGCACAAGCAAATAGCTATCAGGACTCAGTAGGTAAGTGGATAACGCAATAGCATTTGAAGCAAACAATAATGGGTTCGAGTCCCAGAGTGAATATCAACTCTGAGATGTGGCATGTACATACAGCTGATGACGAGTCCCAAATAGGATGAAACGAGCGTCCTAGATTCCACTGCTAGCCACTATCCATCTTTTCTTACTATCATACTTTTTCTTCCAAACTAAAATATTCCATCATCTTAGTTTGTTTTCCTTATATTACTCTGCTGCCTTGTGGATTAGACTTTCAAGTCAAAGGCTTTAGGAGTGGTTCCCTAAGAAAACTACCAGGTAGTATCTCAGCTCTCTCACAAACAGAATGTTTTACATGGTGCATATCTATTTGATACTTCCCTATACCAATGTCCATGTGTTTAACGAAACACTTTACTGAATTGATTTCATTTAAAAAAACTTTTCATAAACGTCTTGTTCAAGTTTTCTGAAGAAATGGAATAGAAATTAGAGATTATTGTCAAGTTAATGAGAAATAATATTTCAATTGTAGTTAGCAACAGAATACAGGGTATGGATATTGTTTTATATGAAACTTGTCAATTTCTTGTAGGTCGTATAGAAGTATCAACATTTTTATTCGATGACTTGAATCAAATACCTATCACTTGAATTGCAAAAAACAGTTCATTCCACAAGTTACTGAGTCTGGATAGTCATTTGTTTATTCAGAAAGTAAAATGTTTCCTGTAAAGATTTACGTTAACTTATTAGGAATATTAACTTCGCCTGGTGTCGCTACGGGGACAACTGCCGGTCTCGAGCTTGGAAAAAGGAGGACAGTTGGGCATGAGGTTAGCGACCCCATCTCGTAGAAAACTAACTCACTAAAAAAACGTTGAAGAATGCTGGTCAGCGGCCCATGTTCCTTCATGAGGAGTAACAGGTGTAAGTACGTAAGTAAGTATTGGGTATATTAAATCGAGGTATCCACTAGACATATATACAAGTTAACAAAGACTGATCATAATTCAGTTTTCAATATTAAGAACAGATCAGTTCAAACCTTTGTTAACTATGATATAAATATCACATCCAATGAATAAGCAATTAGCTATTTGAACTCATCAGCCTAGTGGGTAACACACTATGACTTAAAGCGAAAGATACATGATTTAAGCCGTAATGTAATTTAAAAGAAAAAACTAAACGTACAACATGGATTCCACAAATAACCACAATCCATCTATTGTACAAAATAAGATACTATATCAAGGGATTCATTAAAGATTTATACTAAGTAACAAAGAGTGGACAAATTCAGTCTTGCGAATCAATAAATGGATAACAAAACCTATTCAACACAAAGAACAAATACACAATAAAGCTTATTCTATTTGGAAAACAATAACATTAGTAGTTACTACAGAAATTACAATGTTCCAGTTTGCTATACAGTTGCTTGAATATTATTGTAGAGTTATATAACAAACCAATAAATGCTGGATTCCAAAATCTCGCGAAGTGGGATCGTGGATGCGCACTGCTGAGGAGTTTCATACTAGAACGAAACGGCCGTCCAATACTTCCAGGATTTCCATGGTGGTCTAGCTTCAATTGACTTATGATTTTAACTATTGAAATGACTAAAATCTTTACAAAATTTTTTCTGATAATAATCATCTGCTTACTAATGACTGACTTCAAGAGGCATTTCTTAGAGTTCTAATGAGAATCCGTTACCAGAGGAGTTCAACCAGGTCTGTTGTGAGATATCAATTCACTGAAGACAATGGTGTACGGTGATACAACTTCGTGGATTAGATGAAGTTGGACATTAACAGCGTTGAATGCCTGTACAGTGGTTTAATGGTAAAGCGCTCGCGTGCAAAACTGATAGGTCATGGATTCGAATCTCTTGGGGGGTGGGTTCGTGGATGCGCACTGCTGAGGAGTTCGATACTAGGATGAAACAGACGTTCACTGCTTCCAGGTTTTCCATGGTGATCTAGTTTCAATTGACTCATTATCTCAACTATCAAAAAGAAACCTACCTATTAATTCTAACACAAAACAACTCTCATTTCTCAATCGGGTTTACATTTAAAAAAAGAATCATAATGATAGAGACATACAAAGAAACAAACAAATAAATAAATAAATAGACGATATAATACTCACTTGAAGTCTTTGCCAAATAGAAATTAATCGTTGAGGATTTTCAGGATGATTTGCATCAGTTTGACATGTACAATGATGAGCAAGCATTCCTAAGTCGTATGCTAATACTGTAGTGAATGTTGCTTCCTATGAATTAAGAAAATAATAATATATTAAATAAGATTTCAATAGAAAGGATCGTTTATAACTAATTAAACCCTATCAATCAATTATCCTAATGGTAAACATATGTTCTCTAGTAAGTATTATAACCCTGATCTGTTATACGTGTATCATTATTACTGATAACTTAACTCAGTAAGATGATATAGCAATAGTTTATTGATATACGTACAATTCCTGTTGTGGTGTATGCTACTTATATCGACAAAAGTAGTATATATCGATAGTCATGAATGGAATGTTTGGCAGCAGAAGGTCGAGAAGATCAAGAAAGAAAGAACGGGAACAGAAAACAATTGCTATCAAAATGAAGGAACAATGAGATCTGAGACGATTGACTGATATTTGCAAAAGGAACAGTCAAGTTTGAGACAATTGATTGACATCTTGTAAATAAAGTATTTACTGTATGATTCTCAGATTTTACTAAGAGATTCTGTAATTTTGGTATTCAAATGCATTTGGTTGTTCCCATTTGTGTTCTCGTTCACTATACTATCTCCAAATCTTAATCAAAACACGAATATAAGACAGATGATGCGATTTCTGTTTCATGACTAAAAACAAATCCAGCAGTTGTATACATTAAATTACTAGACCATAAAACAATTTACTTAAGAAATCACAATATATTCCTAACTTTGACCATTTAAGGTACAAAATCTGAATAATATGTTAGGGAGATCCAGGATACTCCTCAAAAATGCACTGAGAGGCCATGAAAACGCTAGAAAACGTTTCATCCAATTATAATTGGATAAAATAGTATATTCACACACATCTAGTAAGTAAAGAGTCACGTGTGAGATTTTGGTGCGAAATTCACTTATCCATTTGGATAAATACAGTTTTGGCATTATAACTGATGTCAGTTGGTGATAAAAACCCTAAATCTAATTTTTAATCTTAACCGTCAATTGTAAACCACAATCATAATTCCTCACACAGGTTTATAACTATCATTCAATCTAAGTTAGTAGGTAGACATTCTCGATTTCACATTAGTATCGCTCAAAGGTCGTCCATAAATTATAGTCTCATCATATTGTGGTTGCTGGTAATATGTAACATAACTGATGTACATTGTTTAGATATCGATTGACTGAACTACTAACTTCGAACTGGTGACCACTCAATACGTTAACGTTAGGATCGACCAAGAAGTAAGAAACGGAAACTTGTTGAAATACTCTGTGATGAGAATTCTATATTGTTCCATAAGTATAATATTGAATAAAGCCATCAAAAATAATAATAATATCCCCTTATCATGTGAAGTTTCAATGTCTTTATGTAATCTATCATTCTTTCTCCTGTAGTGACCTACTTTTGTCAACAGAACGCGAATGGTTCGATGGGAACAATTATTATTATGATCAGTTGTACCAGCGATTGTTTTATTGTGCTCGTTTGTTTAACTGTGCTAATAACAACCATATTGGTCTTTCATTGGACTCCATTACTTCTACGCGGTTTGTGACTACGCATGTACCTTTCCTTGCTGATCGCATTCGTACTCCTTTGGCACGATCTTGGTAATCTTTCTATACCACGAGATTGTCAGCAAATATATATCGACTACAGCCGTCATCTGTCTTTTGATTTTGGCCTACGGGAATCTTATTGGTTTACTGGCACGTAGTCTTGTAGCGGTGTTCATAGTCAAGCTCAACTCGACACCACGCTGCACTCCTACCTTTTTTACAAAGTTGTTTTATAGCTAATGTAATTCAGCTTCTCTAAATTAAGAAAATCCTTCATTTTTTCGATTAAAATTAGGTATTGAATATTGTTACCGTTTAGAACAATGATAGAATCTCCAAAATCAAGCTATATAACTGATTGTATGATATACTATTAATGTTATGTAATTGAGTTCATTTCTTGTTGTAGTCAACGAGAACGCTAGTGAGGACAATCGGATATTTTAGTAACATCTGAGAATCACACAGTAAATAATTCATTTGCAAATATCTGTCATTGGTCTCAGATTTTATTATTCCTGTTACCAATTGCTTCCTGTTCACATTCTTTCTTTCTTGACTTTCTCCTGCCAAACATTTTATTCCTGACTATCGTTACATACTTCTAGTGTGGATATAAGTGCTTCCAAATACCCTGATACAGCAGAGAATGGGGAGAGTTGGCTCTCCATCTCGAAATGCTCTCACATTATCACGCGTATATAACCTCTTCTAGGGAAGTCCTACCCACTGCCTTCTCGAGGAATTACTGTTGTTTACGAAATTGAAAGGACGAAAACGGAATGTCCGGCGCTTTAACCGGGTTGGTGGATAATGAGGATACACCTAGGGAAGTTGGAGAACCCTGATTCTTAACCAATGGTGTACATGGGCTCCAGTACCCTGGGGGGACAAATGGCGTATGAACTATTGTCAGTCACAGGCTACCACGGGAGTGCATCTACTTGCATCACTCCACTGTCTTGCGGATCAGACCTTTAGATCGATGGCTCCGCATGTGACGCCCTAAGAAAACCACCTGGTTAGATTTGAGCACCCGAACAGTGTCGCAGCCCTCACACAAATTAAATGAGATTTGTGTGGCGCATATGTATTTGGTGCCACCTTGCACCAGTATTTATATGTTCAAATAAATAAATAAATGTAAGTAGCTCATACCACAATGTTTTCGGAATATAAAAAAAGCAAAGTAAAAGTATTTCTGTCATCTACAAAAAAGAAACTAAAACAAAACCGAAATTCATATCCCACCCACATAATCATTTAATTAAATAACTTGAATCTTACAAAAACTGACATTAATGAACACATCTATAAAGTGACAGAAACTTTACCGGTTAAACCTACATTATAAATATCATTAATAAGTAAACTAAGAAAACTTTAATCAAATATCTACATCTAATATGATTTAGAAAGTGTAGGTGTATAATGTATACTTCTATCTATCTATCTATCTATCTATCTATCTATCTATCTATCTATCTATCTATCTATCTATCTATCTATCTATCTATCTATCTATCTATCTATCTATCTATCTATCTATCTATCTATCTATCTATCTATCTATCTATCTATCTATCTATCTATCTATCTATCTATCTATCTATCTATATCTGTATGTAAGCATGCATGATTGAAGTCGAAATGTATTCCCATATCAGTAAATATAGTTTACATTTGTTTAATACTCCCATTACTGAATGTAATATCATTTATATATTAGATTGGTTTGAATTATTATTAGAATTTTCTGGTTAGTATAACTTTTAGTGAGTTAGTTTTCTACGCGATGGGGTCACTAATCCTATACCCATCCCTCCCACTTTATCCGAGCTTGAGAATGACAGTAACTTCAGTACGGGGCTCCAGGTGGAGATTAATAATGACAAAAATGGAAGATTGTTAAATAATAAATACTTAACGAAATACGCATAGTAAAAACTGAGTTTATTTAGAGAATCAGAAAAGGGGGTTTTTTAGAGATTGTAATAATTTGAATAGTTGAATTCATCAGTTAATGATTGTTAGATCACCATAGAAGCACAGGATGGCCGTTTCATGGATTGATCAAAGTTAGAAAATAACACTACTAGATGCTAGTCAAGTGGTTTAGAAGTCCTGGGTTCGAATCCTGTGAATAGGATTGTGGATGCTTATTGTTGAGTAGTCCCATACTAGAACAAAACGGCTATCCAGTGCTTCCAGGTTTTCCATGATGGTCTAGTTTTAATTGACTCATGAATTCAACTATTAAAAGTACTATAATATCCACAAAAAATTCCTCCTGATATTAATCATAATTTCGTTTATCAGTTTTAAATGCTGACATAAGTATATTTATATGTAGTTTAAAATAGGATAATTAAATCAGCTAATTGGATTCAGGGATTCGTAGTATTCTATATTAAGAGACTGGAATAGAGAATTATCTATCTAAACCATATATCACTAGGATTAAATACTGATAGTTTATTATTTATCATGTTGTCAATCCCATCTAAGTTTCTTTAATCAATTAACGCGAAGAAACTCAGTGTCCCATAAGTGAATAGAATAATACTACTTAACTGTACGATCACAAACGTAGGTATCATGATCATTCAAATCATTTCTAACTGGTTAAATGACAAGTTAATAACATTGTCATAATAAGTTTAGAATAGAAAGATTATGACCAGTGTTGGGATCCAAGACATGCTTTACGTTTTATCTGGTACCTGTACTTAGATAACAGTGTTGATATTCACATAAGAACTCGAAACCAGTATATTAACACCGTACATTAACACCGTTGGATGCCGGCTCAGTGGTCTAGTTGGTTAAACGCCTGGCGCGAGACTGATAGGTCCTGGGTTCGAATCCCGCGGGGGGGGGCGGGATCGTGGATGCGTACTGCTGAGGAGTCCCATACTGGAACAGAACGGCCATCCAGTGATTCCAGGTTTTCCATGGTGGTCTAGCTTCAATTGATTCATGATTTCAACTATTGATATTTTGATTTTGTCAAGTAGTCTAATTGAACTTTCGATTCAATTTCTTAGCTACTTCTAATAACTCTAGGCTAAATCTATTTAGAAAATCGAATACAAGAGAAAAGGTATGAAGTGTGAAAGGAATGCCATACACCAAGGTTAGTATATGTACATAAAAATGAGGGTGTTTTATAGTAGTACAAATAAACCTAAGCTTCTGAAATTTCCAGGAATCATACAAAATATCATAGCAGCATTGGTAAATATCTAATCAGAAATAATACACGTGAATAATCACTTTCTAGATGTTTTTGAGAGGCTTCTATTAAATGTTTCTCACAAGTTTCCTAGGCTCCTATGGATTGTTTTCAAGGAATATCTCAAAACTCTTAGATAGATCCAAGAGTTAATAGTTTTATTTACCAAACCAATACGTATCCGGTGAATATCTATCAACAAAAAAGATCATTCAAACCACCTTCAATGAAAAGTGTATTTTGAC